TTACTCAAAGATCATGAAGATACTCTTCTGTGTTTCTCTTAGAGGATTTATTAGCTTTCTACTTAGGTCTGTGATTCATCTTAAAATAAGTGAGTAAAATGTGTGTCTTAAGTTCTTTTTTCCCCCACATATGGATATTGAGTTGATTCAGGACCATTTATTGAAAAATCTATCTTTTACCCACTGAATTGCATTGGTTACTTTGTCATAAATTTGGTGACCATACAAGTGTGTACCTATTTTTAAACTCCCATTCAGTTCCGTGAGTATCCCATGACACACTGTTGGTAGGGAAGTAAAATAATTTTGTAACATTAACATAACATGGAAGGTTTTTCTCTAAGGTAATTTAAAAATATACTGAAAAGATAGATAACTGACAAAACTTTCTTTGGCACCTGGCTTATAGGTTCCCTTAATCCCATGCTCCAAGTTAGAACCTTTCCCTCTAGAGCTCTGTTGCTGATATACGGAGGAAAGCTCCTATTCCAAGAATTGAAACTTTCAATAGCTGCCTTTTTAAGCCCGTCTTTAGTTGCATACACCAAGTTTTCCAGTTAAGCAGTATTTTCCATGCCTCTGTAACCTCACTGTCTGTGCGTGGAGGTAGGATGGGAGTAGGAGGTTATTGACACAACTGAGAGCTTTGTGCCCGGTGTCATGGGCAAGGAGACAAGCATAAAGGAAGGATTGGGATGACAGCAAAATTGGGAAATGGCAGTAATATGAGTAACCCAAATAATCACTGGGATAATACAAAGTGGGGAGGTGCTTAGGGCTAAGGTGACAGCCATATCCAGGGGTCAGTTCTCCTTCCATATATGTACTTTCATTCTCAGGCCCAAGCCCAGCTCCTATACATCAAGTTCAGTGTCTGTGTAGAGATCACATATTTAGAAGTTCATAGTGGAGATGTACTTGATTCTAACTCGGAAACTATGCTGAACTCAGGATGGCTGCTTTTAATTCTGCATCCTCTTCCTCAGCACCTTCCAAATTTTTCACAAAACCTCTACAGGTTCGTAGGGGTTTTGTGAAAGGACCCAGTACTAAGTACATATCATTGTAGGTGCGCTTCCCAAACCTCTCAATGACAGTTTGGACCATCACCAAAATCTTGGGGTCTGGAGAGAGCAGGAACTTGTCGTTTCAGGAATCAGTGACTTTTGAGGATGTGGCCGTGTACTTCACTAAGAAGGAATGGGCCAGCCTGATGCCTGCTCAGAGGGCCTTGTACAGGGATGTGATGCTGGAGAACTATGGGGCTGTGGCCTTCCTAGGTAAGGCCTCTCCGCTGCTGGTCTCTGCCTGGGCCCTCAGAGGTTGAAGGGATCTCTTATAATTATTAGTTGACCCCAAATGGCAATGTCAGAGGTTGCCAGGTATGGAAAGCCCTGATGTCTATTAAACTCCAAAGGGCTTTTTTTTTTTTTCCATCATGAAAGCTACCCTCTTTCCTTACCTGCTTTAGAGGTGATTGATTCTCTGGGTACAGAAGGACTTGTGCTTTATCTTGGTACCCTCAATCTAGTATTGAACTTCCAAATTATCTTGAAAGAATCCAGCCCTTTGTCTCCCTTTGGGGGTTGCTCCTAGGAGCCATGTGTCTGTTTCCCACAAGGGGAATTTGTCATCCTCTGACAGAGAAGGTAAGAAATCTTGTTTCTCTTTAAATAGAAATCTGCCTCCAGGGTGTTTCAGGCTTCCTTGGAAGCACTATCCTGAGGCTTCTTCCCAGCATCCCTCCCTGTACCTCTTTAGGGTATCTTTTGCACAGCCCACCCAAACATTACTCTCCTCACCTCATCTGCTTGTCCTTGCAGCCACAGGCTGAAATCAACCTCTCTGACTCTGCTCATCATTGTGTTGTGTTTTCTTTCCTTCAAGCAGCATCACCTGCTTCCAAACCAGCTCTGATCTCTCAGCTGGAGCAAGGGAAGGAGCCATGGTTCACCCAGCCACAGGGAGCCCTAAGCAGAAGGGGCTGGAGAGCAGGCTTCAGAGGTGAGTTTAGCATGGGGTATCTTCTCCAGTTTTGTCTCTTCCTTTGCCTCCGTTTAATCAGAATGAAAGATTCTGTGTTCTCTGTGCCCAATATCATGGAGTACATTGGGATTCCTAATTATTTTTTTTCTGACTGGTCTGTTATTCATTGCTTCCCATCCCTTTAAACTGTAATACACAACATCCTTCTTCATTGTTTCACTCACTGGGATGCTTATACTTGTGTATCTGGGGATGTCAAAAATTTTTTCTAAATACTTTACTGGTTATGTGTAACTTACCTTTTTCCAGTTTTCCCCCTTTTACAAGACTGATAAACTTGGTGCAGTATTATCTTGTCCACTAAACAATAGAACAAGTAAAAAAATTTATTTTTGCTACTTACGGTAATTAATATATTAAAACATTTAAATCATTTTTTAATATTGAAATACTTTAAGGTAGCTTAAAGATATTATGATTTTCTTCCCTTTAGGATACATCTTACAACTGAGAAGACTTACTCGCTTAGCTAAAATAATATCACATATAATAAAATTAAAAATTTCTCAAAATCATCAGTGCCGGGAAGACAGGAGAAAGGCTTAATTCTTGACCTTTAAATACCAGTTTTCCAAGTAAGAAGTTGATTTAAGAGTCACCTTAAATGATGTCAAATGTGCATTTTCTTTTTCTGTAGACTCATGGATTTCCACAGATTTAATGTTTTTCATTTCATTAAAATGATTCTTTTTGATATACTAAGTAAGCTCTCATGTCCTTTTTAAAACAGCTTTATGGAGATTTAATTCACAAACCGTACAATTCAAACATTTAAGGCATACAATTTAGTGGTATTTAGTATATTCACAGAATTGTGTAAGCATCACCACAGTCTATTATTTTTAGATTATTTTTGTCGCCCCAAAAAGAAGCCCTGTGTCCATTAGCAGTCACTCTCCATTCCCTATTCCCAGCTCTCAGTTTTAGGTAACCACTTATCTACTATCTGTTTCTATAGATTTGCCTATTATGGATATTTGATATGAATGCCATCATACAATATGTGGTCTTTTGCACATGGCTTCCATTTAACATAGTGTTTTCAAGGTTTATCCATTTCATAACATGTATCAGTACTTCATTCCTTTCTATGTATGAATATCTATTGGATGGATAATATTACATTTTGATCCATTCATCAGTTGGTGGACATTTGGGTTGTTTCCACTGTTTGGGCATTATGAGTAATGCTGCTATTAATGTACAGGTTTTATGCTGACATATGTTTTCTTTTCTCATGGGTACATATTCTAGATATGTGAGAGTACTTCAAAAGTTCATGGAAAGATTTGTATTATCTTTTAATCCTCTTTTTCCACAAACTTTTTGAAATCACCTCCTATACTTGCCGGGTCATATGGTAACTGTTTAACATTTTGAGGAATGCCAAAATGTCATCTGCTAATAGAGATAGTTTTACTTTTTCCTTCCTAATCTAAATGCCTTTTTTTGACCCAGGACCTTCCTTTACTGACTCTATCCTCTTAACTACCTTTTTATCTTGAACTCTCCTTGGAGCTCTAAGCCCTGATAAAGCTTTCTCTTCCTTCTTGGGATTCGGGACTTTTCCTTGCCTCACCTCATTCCCTATGTGCTCTAACAGCATTTTATAAGCATATGAAAGCTGTGTACTAGTAGGACATAGTAATCTCACCTGTTGATGAGTTCAGGCAAACTATGGCCCATAGGCCAAAATCTGGCCTGCCACGTGTCCTTTTGTGTATAGCCTGCAAGATAAGAATGGTTGAGGGGCCGGCCCGGTGGCGCACTGGATAGTGCACTGCTTGGGAAGCACGGCGGCGCTCCTGCCCGAGGGCTCGGATCCCCCATACAGACCGGCTCCTGCTCACTGGCTGAGCGAGGCGCGGGGGCAACGCCGAGGGTTGCGGTCCCGTTGCCGGTCCCGGTCCGGTGCGGGGGTGACACGGAGGGTTGCGATCCGTTGCCGGACACGGAAAAAGACAAAAAAAACAAAAAAAAAAAAAAGGGTGAGTTTTTTTTGGGGTTGAAAAAAAACAAAAAAAAAAAAAAGGGTGAGTTTTTTTTGGGGTTGAAAAAAAACAAAAAAAAAAAAAAGGGTGAGTTTTTTTTGGGGTTGAAAAAAAACAAAAAAAAAAAAAAGGGTGAGTTTTTTTTGGGGTTGAAAAAAAACAAAAAAAAAAAAAAGGGTGAGTTTTTTTTGGGGTTGAAAAAAAAAAAAAAAAAAAAAAAAAAAAAAAGATAAGAATGGTTGAGTTTTTGTAGTGGTTGAAGAAAATCAAAAGAAGAATAATATTTTGTAACAGGTGAAAATTACGTGAAGTTCAGATTTCAGTGTTTGTAAGTAAAGTTTTATTAGAATATAGCCATGTTCATTCATTTACTTATTGTCTGTGGCTGCTTTCACACTGCAGTGCTAGAGTTGAGTACTTACAACAAAAACCATATGGCCTAAAGAGCTTAAAATGTTTAGCATCTAGCCCTTTACAAGAAAAATTTGCTAACCACTGGTCTACTTCTCTCTAGCATTGCTGAGAGGTGGTATTTTCATGTATTTTTTTTTCTCTTATCAGGTGGAAAAACCTGGGCTAAAACTGAACATTTGACTTTAAAACAAATAATTTCTTATAAAAACAAATCCTGTGGCATGGTATCAGATGAATATCTGAGAGGGGGACCTGATTTTCAAGATACCTGCAAGACAGATGGCAAGTTAGAGAGACACAGAGAAAATTTCACAAAGGATGAAATGAATAAAAATGAGAGAGATGCTGTGAAGGAGATAGTTAATAATGAAAAACTTCCTATAGAAAATAGAAGCCATCCACAAAAGAAATCAGAAAAAAATGTTAGTGTTAGTTCTCAGCGTGAAACACATCTGCAAGTTCCAGCTGTACAGATTTCCTACAAATCTGATTTATGGGACAAACATTGCAGTTACAGTTCAGACTCTTCTCAGCATCAGAAAAACCCACCTGGAGGAAAGCCATATCAATGTAAGGAGTGTGACAAAGCCTTTAGCCTTAACTCCACTTTTGTTCGGCACCAAAGGATCCACAGTAAAAAGCAACCCTATGTGTGCAAGGAGTGTGGCAAGGCATTCTGGGGCAAGTACCAATACACAGCACACCAGCGAATTCACACTGGAGAGAAACCTTATCAGTGTAAGGAATGTGGGAAAGCTTTTACTTTCAACTCCAGTTTTATACATCACCAAAGGATACACACTGGGGAGCGACCCTATGTGTGTAAGGAGTGTGGCAAGGCATTCTGGGGCAACTCCCAGTACACAGCACATCACCGAATTCACACTGGAGAGAAGCCTTATCAGTGTAAGGAGTGTGGGAAAGCTTTTACCTTTAATTCCAGTTTTATACATCACCGAAGGATCCACACTGGGGAGCGACCCTATGTATGCAAAGAGTGTGGCAAAGCTTTTCGTGTGAACTCACAGCTCAATAATCATCAATTGCTACACACTGGAGAGAGACCCTACCAATGTCCAGAGTGTGGGAAGAGCTTCACCCGGAATTCAAACCTTGTCCAGCATCAGAAAATTCACTCTGGAGAGAAAAACTATCAATGTAAGGAGTGTGGGAAGGCCTTTAGGCAGAAAAGCAATTTAAATCGACATCAACGAATCCACCCTTGCAAGACAAATTTCAAAGAGAGTTCAGGATTAGAGCAGCACCAGAGACTCCATGATAGGGAAGGACGCTATGAATGTAAGGATTGTGGGAAAGTCTTTATTCGGAATTCAAATTTTATTCGCCATCAGAGTATTCACTCACGAGAGAAACTTTTAAATGAAGTTGTTGGTTCCTGTTTCCCACAAGTGCAGGTTACTAGGCCCTCCCCTTCTTTGCCTGGTCATATCAATCCAGCCCTCTGTCTTGCCACTCCCCAGGGGGCTCCCTCTGTGCCAGCCAGTTCTTTTTCCCCACTGTCTGTACCACACACCCTTTCACTTTCTACCTCAGAGCCCTTACTCTTTCTCCTCCCCCAGATGCCCTCTCCTCTTCTCTCCCCCTTTCTGTGATCTCTTTCCTTGACTTACATAGGCCCTTTGAAGTTTGCAACTTTGATACTGCCTTTTGCACTCAGTCTTACACACACCCTCACACACCTTGCATTGTTATCTACCTGTAGATAGCTGCGGTACTCTTGCTAATCAGATATATGCTGAGTGTTCCCCTCCCCCTCAACCCTGAAGAGGACTCAGGTTTTTGTTTTTTTTGTCTGTTGCAGCCAAGTTGTCATTTCTTTTTTTCTTTTTTTTCTCCTAAATGATGACCAATAAGGGGATCTGAACCCTTGACTTGGTGTTCTCAGCATCATGCTTACCCAGTGAGCAAACTGGCCATCCCTATATGGGATCCGAACCTATGGCCTTGGTGTTATCGGCACCACACTCTCCTGAGTGAGCCACGAGCCGGCCCCCCAAGTTGTCACTTCTCAAGGGCAGGAGTCACATGATTAGATGAGAAAAGGTCAGAAAGTATGAATATATTTCCACTGTAAATGAATATATGGCATGACCATTTGAGTGTAGATTGTAGGAATGGTAGAAATGAGGAATTTCTTTCAACTCAGGAAAGGAGATACTCAAATAGAAACTGAAGGTATTGCTGTAAGAAATGGACCTTGTAGAGAGCTGTTTATATTTGGACTTCATAGGAAACTGGTCCTCAGTTTTTCTTGTTCAGGGATGATTTTATCAGGGCTCTCCTATACAGGCAAATACTAGCCACTGAATTCCTTTGACATTTCACGGGAGATTGATTTGTTAAACAGAAAGTCAATTTGTTATTTTTCCATATGGGACATCTTTTCTAGATCCAAAGGAATAATTTGCTGTCTAGTTTGCATTAGTCTATCTGTCCCTCCCTCCATAGCTGGGTTGAGTAGCTTCCTTTATGAAAAGATGTAAGCCTTTGTAGGTTGACTGCTTTTAGATGGCATTTTCAGGAATAGAGTGATAGATTACCTCCCTTCTCCATATCCCCCCTTTGCAAATGTTACCTTCTTTTGCTATAGTCAAAGGTTATGCTTGGCTGCAAGCTGCATTTTAGAAAAATACCAGTGAGCTAGAAGTTGATGACTTTAAGCTAGGATAGTCAAGCAGCACTGTCACTTTTTGAAGTGGCCTAGAGGAAAGAGACTATGAGCTAAGAAAAAGAGCCTCAGTTAATAGAGTCCCAGGTTTATTTAAACAGTGAAGAGGTTTGGGAACCACAGGATGGGACCATCAATCAAGAGAGCAGGGAGAAACATCCCTGGAGGGCCAGACTGCTGCCTGGAATGTGATGTTTGTGGCCTGAGTGCTTTATCTCACAGCTACATTGCAAGTGATAGATGATTGATAGTTGAATCCATGGGCTGTTTTTGGATATCAGGCAAAAGGGACTTGTCCTTGAGATCTGTTCTTGAGATTGAGAGGAAAATAACCAGGTCAAGGGGGAGATAAAAGAGACTGAGCTTTCTCACATTAAGTAGTCCTGTATATTAAGCTGGAACCAAGTAGATTTTGTTAATCTCATGTATTTAATTACTGGCCTGCATGGAACTCCTTTTGTCTGGGGCATATTGAGTCATCTGAACATGCTAGGGAACTGAAAATGTTTTGCATGGTGCTGGGGGTTACCTTAAGAATTAATGTTGGAGAGGTGAGCACTTAAATCACTAAGAAACTGTAAGAGAGTTTGAACTTCTTCCTTGCCAGTGGAAGTCAGTTAGGAGTTTAAAATAGGGGCATATGTATGATTGATTTGCATTCTAACAAGGTCATTGGCAGCATGGGAAGAATTAAGGACAGGTGAAATAGGAGTCAGGAAAACTAGATAGACCAGCAGTTCCTAAATGGGAGTCTGTGGACTAGTGAAAGTCCACAACAACTTTTCTACAAATTTGAAATGAGAAAATGAAAATGTACTAGAAATCTACATATAGAGATGGAGCTATATATGTCCACATAAGTTGACCCACAATTCTTGGAAACTTACACTGAAGTCGTCCTTTCTCCTGGCATTAATATTGTTCTTCATGAAATAGTCATGAGAATTATAAGCTTTTGTTAGTTATGCTTTGTTTTTTAATGCCCTTTATTGGAAAATAAAAAATGGCCATGCTATATTTCTGTCTCCTCCCCCTGGCATTCATGTTTTAAAAATTGTTCTGTGAAATCAGAACAGCAGCTAACCAGTATGATAAGCTTTTCTGGATTAGCTTTGGAAAATTGAGGTTAGTGGATTTTGAACAATTTTGGAACAACTAAGAATTGGTTGGCCCTGCAGTCAGAGTACCTTGGGGCAAAAGGCCCTGCTTTTTCTGGGATCTTGGGGGCCAGAGTGAACTCCATAAGGCCCTAATGAATGAGAGAGAAGTAGTGTGATTGGACAAGAGCTTTGGATTTAGGATATGGGCCACAGTTTAAAATTCTCAAGAGGGATGACTGGAACCATCAAGAACCCTTCTTGAATAATTGACATTGTGTGATTGTGTTTTATGTCAACTGTGTAATTTGTATCTCTCAGATTGTTGCACTGCAATAAGGATATGCTCTTAAAAGGACTCTGAATGTGTTAAAAAAGTCTACTTTAGAGAGTGAATCAAAGCAAAGTTGGCTGGAGTCAGGCTTAGAAATCTACAGTTTGGGCGCTCCTCTGGAGTGTCCAGTTTGGTTACATGACTGAAATCTCAATATCCATTTGTGATGGCATCAATAACTCTTCCTGCTTCTGGCAGCCTTGTGGGGTATACTGTGTAAGAAGCAAAGGGGAGGTGGGAGGGCTGGTTGTAGATAATGCTCAGAGTAAGTTGTTTATGTGGTTTACCCTTTGTTACTGAAGCCCATAAGATATTTGATGCCTCCCTTATGTGAGCAGTGAGCCTAATATGGAGAACAGGACTGTCCAGGAAGTCCTCTTTTCAATAATAATAAAAATAACAGTAGTTACACTACCACTTATTGAGCACTTACCGTGAACCAGGTATTATGTTATGGGCTTTATATGCTTTATCTCAGTCCTACAATAACAGTGAATTAAGGGGTTGTTAACTGGCAGCTTTTTACAGGTAAATACATTGGGACTTACTGAGAGGTCAGAATCCAAACCCAGAGAGTGACTCCAGGATCCACACATGTGATCACAGTGTATCCACCTCCCTTATTCACCTACCTTTCTTGGTACTTTGTACCCTGTATACCCAGTGTCTGTTCCTCCATTGTATCTTGGCAGTAGATAAATTTGGTTTTGTTATTATAGGTTCACAGCTGAAAGGACTTTTGCTTTTGGTCTCAGATGAGACTGTGGACTTTGGATTTTAAGTTGGTGCTGGAACAAGCCAAGACTTTTGGGACTGTTGGGATGGAATAATTGTATTTTGTATGTGAGAGTGATATGAGTTTTGGGGGTACAGGGGTGGAATGATAGAGTTTGGATGTGTAGTCCCCCCAAAACTCATGCAGAAATCTGATCCCCAATGTGGCAGTGCTGGAAGGTGTTTGAGTCGTGGGGGCCGATCCCTCATGAATGGATTAATGCTCTCCCTTGGGGAGAGGGATAGTGAGTGAGTTCTCGCTCTATTACCATGAGAGCTCGTTGTTTAAAAAGACCCTGGCACCTCCTCTCTCTCTCTTGCTTCCTCTTGCCATGTGATCTGCTTATACCTGCTGGCTGCCTGCCGCTTTCTGCCATGAGTTGAAGCTGCCTGAGGCCCGTTCCAGATGAAGCTGTCCCAGAATTGTAAGCCAAATAAACCTCTGTTCTTTATAAATTACCCAGTCTCAGGTATTTCTGTTATAGCAACACAAAACGGACTAATACATACCCTAAGCTAAGATCTTCGAGGTTAGGAATTCCAAGCTTCTCTTTCCTACTCCTGTCTCTGCACTGCTAAAATACCTCCCATGATCCAGTTCCCACATATATGTGTGTGTGTGGGGGCAGCTACAGCCTCCATTTAACCTCCCACACTCAGGATTGGTAGCAGCTAAAGATCTTGTTTAAGGGCCCATCTGACGAGGGGCCAGACACTTAAAGAAAAAATGGGGGTAAAAGAGAGAGGGCTTGGGGAGAGCAACTGCATCCTTGATCACAGCTTGGGAATAGGGAAGAGGGTTAGAGAAAATTGTGTTGATTGGAAACAGATGGTACATAAATGACTGTATGTGTGAGGATTATATTGTGTATGGAGCAGAGTCAACTATTGAGATAGGAAGTTGTGCCGAGAAGATAATAACCACTTGGACTTGCTAAAAATTGAATTAATTTTAAGCAATACACTTTCATTTGATTATGACACTGGTATTATGCAGGCTCAACCTATATAATTCAAAGTTTGTTCATGTATTGTGAATATTATCATAGGACAATGAAAAATTTGTCTCAGTATTGTACAAAGAAATTAAAACTCCTTTAAGTAAAATTTAAAGAAAAATGTGTCTCCAATCTACTACCCCAGTAGATCCCCATTTTTATTTCTTCGTGACCACTGTTAGCCCTTGTCCAAGTGTACAATAATTGAGCCATAACAGATAAAATGTTATGCCTTGCTTTCCTTTTGTTATTATTGTCTTAAGTATCTTCCCTCTTCCACAATTCTGTATACTCTTCATAGTTACTGTTTGTGAGTAGATATACCCTTTTTTACTTCCCTCTCCAAACTGTGAATTCTTTTTAGGGTAGAAATAGTATCTTAATCATATTTTTCCCCCTCCAGCATCCATCAAGTAGGTGGTAGTTCATTTTTATTGAAGTGCGTTGATGGTCATCAGGAAATTTCTATTTGTGAGCTATTGTAAATAATGTTGCTATCAACAGTGTCACGAATATAGTTCCCCCAACCCATTTTCTGAATGATTTCCTTGAAATAAATTCCCAGGAATGAGAACCAAATCCAAATCCAAATCATTTTATGTTTTAAAAACATGCTGCCATATTGCCTTTTTAAAAGATTGTACCAATTTACTCTGCTATCAGAAATGTATGAATACCTCACCTGATTTCAATCTCATCAACAATAAGTATTATAACATATTTTAAAAATTAATGGATCTAAAATGCTATTTGTTTTTATTTCTATTTCTTTACTATAATTAGTGAGGTTGAATGTTTTTCT